GGAAAAACCGTTCATAAACAACTTAGAAAATGAAATCAAATTCTTTCTAAACCAAGGAACATAAAGACAATCTTTCAAAACTAGAAACCTATCTAAGCCAAAATCTAAATAAACGTCTTCCACTGCAACTGCTGACGCTCTACTAGCATCGCCCAAGTAGATGGTAACTTCTCATTCCCTAAGTCGCTTAGTTTCCTGGAACCCCTGCAATGAATTGCAGACATGATCAGTGTCCCTTGTATCTACACACCAGGTACTGGTAGATAACACCGCTAAACATGTTTTTACGACTAAAGCAAAAAGTGTACCTTTATCGGACTTTTTGGGGAAAGGGCAGTTTGCCTTCCAGTGTCCTTTCTGCTGGCAATTGTGGCGCTTACCTTTCGGCTTCTTTGCTTTTTGTCGAGGTTGCGCGTCACTCATGACCGCCTTGCCCTTTCCTGTGGACTTCTTCCTCTTCTTGCCCTTAGGAGCCTTAGAAGTGGAAGCTTCTCCCCACTGGGCCACCATAGCTTGGGTCTTCCGATAAAACAGGCCCTCTGCCGACTGAAGTTCAAAGACAAGTTCCGGAAGAGTCATCAACGTCTTATTCATGTTGTAATTCAACCGGAATTGCTCGAAGCTCTTCAGCAAAGACTGGAGCACTATATCGACCTGGGTTTCCCTGTCAATAAAAGCCCCAAGAACCTCCAACTCATTCAGCTGGGCCATCATAGCAATAACATGTTCCCTTACGGGAGTGCCCTCGCGCATGGTCATGTCCATCAGAACCCTCATGGCATCTTGTCGGACAACCCGCGACTGATAACCAAATAACTCCTTGAGATTGAGAAGCATCTCTGCTGCAGTGTTCATAGACTGATGTTGATGTTGAAGTACATTTGACAAAGATGCCAAGATGTAACACTTCGCCATCTCGTCAGCCTTTTTCCACCAAGCATACTCCTCTTTCTCTTGGTCTGGTGCATTGTCAGCAGGCACAGCCGGACAAGCCTCAACAGTAGAAAATTTGTACCCTTCAGCAGTTAACACAATATCGAAGTTCCTTTTCCAGTCAATATAATTGGAACCAACAAGTTTGTTTTCTTTGAGAATTACGGACAACTGATTGAAGGACATTTTGAATTTCTATGATCATGCAAACATAGTCTTTACTCAGTCAAGTAGTTTTGAATTTATACATCAAATATTGATCCCATGTAAAAATATTCAAATAAATTTACCAACACCTCAAAACACCGAATCCCCGCAGGCCACGGAGTGTGGACGTCTACGGTTCAAACATTCGCAAGAGGAGGGATAAATCCCATTAGCTTAACATACCGCCGAGCAATACTTAACTAATAGTCGGTTTCATCTTTTGGCCAGCGCAATTAACTTTA